GAAAAGGCAAGACTCTGGGCTGGCGCAGCTCTCACCCGTATCGAGAAAAATTTTTTTTCTGACCTGAAATACTTTGTATCAAATCCAATTTCTGGTCAGAAATTCTCTTTGAAATGTTTAAATAAAGCATGGATTTTCTTTAAATACTTTATTTCTTATCCTAATTCTGATCAGAAATTAGCTAATTCTAGGCTAATTCTAGCTACCCTCGCCCTTCTGATTGCTATACACTTGCTCTATCCAATAGACAACAGCCCTTGATAGAGTTCCCAAGTTTTAGGAGAATAACAATGTTATAACAAGTGTAATACTCGAAGCGTATTTATCTCGTTGCGGTTGAGCAGTTAACTGATTTCTGGTTATTTCTTTCTAGAAACTGTTTATTTCGAAACCAGAAAAGAAGTAGATCACTTCTGCACGGAAAATACAAGAAAATTAGGCTAGATAATCTACATAGAATTTCTGTTTAGAAAAACAGCTTCCGTTCGGTACGGGCATCTATCCGACAATCTAGACAATCCGAAAACTAGCTGTCTAAAAAGGGAGAGCATCAACGAAACCTCGCTTGTTTTTCAAATATTATCTTTGTGTTTTCTCCGAGTTATCTCTGTCCTTGAATTAGATCAGTTTAATAAAAATCTATACAACTGTTTCGGAAAGTATTAGTTCGATATCTCAGGCGTCCATACATTCATGTCTGAAAGTTATTCAGATACTTCCAAACAGTCATTAGCGGACGATCAATCGACAGCCAGCTGAAAAGTTTAAACGGTACAGTCGTTATCAGAGTTCTCGAGAAAAAAAATGCAGACGATCACTTCTCCAGTCAACCTATTGAGTAGATCTTCAAAACCACGCAGAAATAACGTGGGATTTATAAAAATCTTTGAATAAAGACGATTCGTCGATAGAGCCGCCTTGACTTGTATTGTGGTCATAAAACTTAACAAAAAGAGAATCAAAGCCGCCGTAGGTCGAACCAATCAAGCCAAACAAGACTCCAGAGAAAGCGCTTTTACCATTAATGTCTTTACCAACTCTGCCTCAGCTCTCCTTACTCCTTTGTGAGACCTATTCGTTCACAAAGTCTGGAGTGCGTAAATTACCGAAGAAATGGCTTCACCATAGTCCTCCTGCCATTATAGTTTCAAAAAATTTGTCGGCTTAAAAAGACGCATCAATACAGGATCAGATCAGCGATGTATTTTCTATATTGTTAAAACAAGGGCAGTGGCAGATTTTTCCCAACGGTTTCAAATTAGCTTAAATTTGCATCAAATTCTAACTCAAAACATTCTTTCTTCTTAATCTTGCCAATGGTGCGCTTCTAGATTTTTGTTTTTCTCATTGAATTTTGAGATATCGGGAAACCATTCAGTTTTTGCCTAAGATTTAGTCACCTTTTACGGTTTTTTCAATCGCCATTGTTCAATACTGTTTTGGGAATATTCCCTGTAGACATCTGTACCAAAAGTCATTAACCTGTAAATTTTGTGCACACAAAATGAAATTTGAGTACGTAGTGTTTATATCTCGTAGTGTAAATTTCCGTTTCAATAACAAAAAGTTTTGATTCCTTTGTTTCAAAATTTCTGTTGCCAATGGGGTGAAGGGGAAGGGAGTATCAGTGTTATATTCGCTATAATTCAACGTTTCACATATTCATTTTTTTTGCATTGAAAAATGTTGTGAAATGTATTACTGGTTAGTTTAATTTGACTTTTATCTCTGAAATAATTACCTGTCTTGTGTGCGTCTGTTTAATTTCTTTTGGACTTCGAGACACTTTTCTGGTTGAATAGAAAAGAAACCGTTTCAACTCAATTACTTCCATTTTTTTCTTTCAGCTCTAGTTAGTCATCTGGTATACAAGTGGTATCTCAATAACTTTATTTTTTTCAAATTGTAATTCTTACAAGTAATGAAATAAACCTAATGAGATATATATCGGTCAACCATATCAAGAGCTGTGTTGTGGGCTGAATTCACTCGAGTTTGAAATTTCGTCCGCCTTTTTTTTTGTTACAGCAAAATAAATAGTGCACAGAAGCTTGTAAAGTTATTTCCACTAAACTTCCGTCATGATTGAAAAATAGAAAAAATCAATTACTCATAAAGTTTCAAAAGAATTCAAAATATTTTTTTTGCTTATTTGCCGTTTAGTGCTCACTTATTTTGTCTGGCCGCTCCGAATCTTCAAGTCACTAAATAATCTCAGAGACAAAATTGTACAATTTTTTGTTACTTCAGTATATGAGGTTAGCTAAGTAGGATGAGTTGAATAGCATCAAGCACAAGGAAAACAACAAACATTTCATGTTTTTGAAATTTTTTTAAAGCATTCGAAGCCAGCAAACTGTTTTAAGTTCATAAAAATACACTATTATGCAACCAATTTAATGGCACGCCAATAAAAATTAGATCTACTTTTCAATCGCCTGCTCTATTGTATCTGCTAAAAATGCCCCCCCCCCCCTGTAAGTAAAAGCAGTAAATCAGCTCTAGAGCGTATTCTGTATAAATCAACTTTTGCTGCATTTTGATTGGTCTGAAATTCGACTGAAGCAACCTACCAATTAATTGCACATCTCTCTTTCTGGACATGGGGTAATTGTTGAGAATATCCTAACAATGTACCCGGCAATGATATCATTGAGTTGAAAATATTTAAATATGTGAATTTTAAGATTCGGAAAACTGATTGCTTAAAAAATTTGGGTGTTTTCCTTTGGTGCTACCGACAACTTCGCTGAAAAATCAAAGTCAAGTTACACTTCCCAATAACCTTGCTCCATTGCTGAATCACCCTTGAGGTTTAATAAAATTAAAACCGACAAAAAAAATTGAGTTTTCAAATTTTTTGTTTGCTTATCTTCTTACTTTGGTATTGTATCTTATAAAATTGAGAGGTTGTAATTAATTGTCTTTTCGTTTGTTTTCGCAACTTAAAAAAAAACTTGACGGAATATTTGTGCTCGGGTTTTTTTTCATCAGATAGGCTTCTACATTTTAACTAGACCTTTTTGACGTGATTTGCCTTAATCATTCAAAAAATTTTCTGCTTTGGGTTCAAATTAAAAAAAAAATTCTCATGCGATCATTTTTTGTAACTTTATTGTGGTTAACAAATTGCCAATTTGAGATAATTAACGCGCGATATTTTTCGCGGTGCTTACGCGTAAGCGAAGTCTTAATCCGTTGTACAAAACGTTTCAAAATGAATTGTGAGATGTGCTTGTTGGTCTATTTAATAATTTGCTATATGCAAAAAATATCACTTTGTATTTTAAAATGCGTGTTGTTTGATGGTTTTCAAAAAAAAATTTAATTGATCATTATTTTTATACTGAATACTACTGGACAGATGTTATAAGACAGTCGAAACGTTGAAGGCGTCATCTTGATACAAGCAGTACTTGGAAGAGCTTTGTTTGATATACGGAAATGCTTTGTTACTTATGTGACTATAATAAAAAAACCAAATTTATACAAAAGTAATGGATTTTTTTTTGGAATTTTCAAAAATTTTCGACCCCTATTAAAATGGAAATTTTACAAAACAATAAATTGGCGATTAAGGGTAAAACTAGGAAATAATAACGTCTAAAACAGATCAGAACGTCAGAACCAGATTTTACAGGTAATTTGTGCGAGCATATATAAAGTTCTATCATATATCAGTATATTTAATTTAATGAAAACTTTTTGAAGTGAGTAAATAGCAAGTATTATTCAGTTTATACATGGATTCAGTTGTCGCTTATGCATTAATAGCAAACGATATAATGCATGTCATTTGCCATAAAATGACCAAATTGGCATTTTCAAACCCGCATAATTCTAAGAAGATTTATCGAGGACAGTTCTTTTTAAGTTGAGCTCAGGACGTCAAAACTTTACAGGTGATATAAAAGTTCCAACTTTTTGAAATTTGTCAATATGGTCATGCTCTGAACTGAATTATACGCGCTAAGGACTGAAACGGTAATTTAAACTGGACGATTTACCGCGTACTATTTTTTTTAGACCTGATGTTGGAGTTTTGTTGGTTGATGTTTGATGCCCATTTTAAAAACGTTATTTAGTGACGTTAATTTAAAAACAGGGGATTAAGTGTGGATTGTTGACGAACGCAGCCCAACGGGACACTACCCTTTGGCTGGTATTAAAACTCTTAATTACAGAAAAGACAATGTAGCCAGATCCACCGTAGTCAGCACCCGCACCCGTTTTGATCCTTTGTGGGCAGAGGTTGTTCGCGCTTAAATTAATGACGTCATCAATGGCGCGAAAGTTAATAAGTTAAAGTTACATTTTTTAACGCAAAGGGCCTTGAAATTTTTGGCTTGTCCAATTAAGGTCAGTTTGGTATCAAAACTGTTTACAGATTCTTGAGATTGTTGAGAACGTTTTGAATTAATGTTAACCGGAAAATGGTAGCCTTGTTTTTTCAGATATATGTTTTTTAATTTTAATTTATTTAAAATTGCCGACAACTTACTAAAGTTGAAGCAGGTTTTTTATCCGGAGTCTTACAGAATACGAGAGAGCATCACACAGGGCTTTGTCTCGATATATAAGGGCTGTCTTGTTTCATTTAGATTTCAAACGTTTCTTCAACCGAAGCTTTCTTCAAGAAAACTGAAGCAAAACTGCCGTCAAACTGCAGCCAGACAAATGATGTACCAAAAATGCTGTTTTTGTACAGTTTTTGAAAAGTTTCGCGCAAAAATAGCCCGAGTCGAGATTTTTCACCTAATTTGAAGCAAGATTTGAATGGTTTGAGCGGTTTGTTTAGACAATTACGCTCAAAATCTTGCTTCAAAATGAGCGGTTTCAGGGGTTTTTGAACGGTTTATCTAAAAAAACGCTCAAAAACCGCGCAAGATTGAGCGGGATTTCGACCCGGGTGCCTCTTGATGTTTAGATTACTGCAGATTTTTTATAATTCAAAATCAAGAGCCTTTTTTCTTCCTTGTTGAACGCAATTATTTGTTTAGGTTTCTGCAGGACAATGAGAATGCCAGCATCATCCAGGCATCAGCCAGAGTGTTCGCAACAGACTTCCCTACAGAAGACAGCGACGAGAGGTCGGCGACAGAAGAGGCATCCTCCTACGAGCGAAACGAAACAACGTTAGCAAAGCATAAGTTCCCTCGCCATCAAGCAATTGTGAAATGCCAAATATATTCACAGAACGGTGCTTCGATGCAACGGTGGTTGTCAGGGATCTAAGATTTCTGATGTTGTTACTTTTTGCTATGCTATGTAGACTTCAGGGATTGCGCCTCTAGGTCCGTTCTCCCTCTCTAACTTAACGGCACCGCAAAGTAGTCCCTTTGGTAGTGAATTCAGCGGGGATGTGCCAATTTAGCATTGGAGTGCGCTCGAAAAAATCCAAAATTAGACGAAAAATTTCCAAAAATGACATTTTGGCTGAGTTTCGAAAACTTTCCCGAACGTTTCCCGCACCGAAGTTTCATGGATAATAATCGATTATAATGGATTTTCGTTGACTAAAATGTTGTCAATATAATCGATTATCATGTCAAATTTAGACCACATAATGGATTTTTAATCGATTATAATCGATTATTTTGGAAAAATTTAAATCCATTATAATCCATTATAATCGATTATAATGGATTTTTATTGACTAAAATGTTGTCAATATAATCGATTATCATGTCAAATTTAAACCACATAATGGATTTTTAATCGATTATAATCGATTATTTTGGAAAAATTTAAATCCATTATAATCCATTATAATCGATTATTATCCATTTTTGTATGGATTATTTTTTGTACATAAAATCCATGAAAATTGAATAAATTTTGTAAAAAAATTACTCTAATTCCTGCAATTTTCTGCAAAACTTGAACGAAAACGTTCATCCAGGGGCGACCAATATGTAGTATTTTTCCAAAAAGTGCCCGAAAACAGCATTTTTGACCAGCTCTTCACGTCAACAACCACACCCCCCCCCGGCCCCAACTTACCCCCCCCCCCCGCCAACGTACTCCCTCCCCTCAACGTACCCCTCAACGTATCCAACATCCAACCCCGCCCCCCACCCACCAACGTACCCCTCCCCAACCAACGTACCCCTCACCCACCAACGTACCCCCCCCCCCCAACCTACCCCCCCTCAACGTACCCCCCAACCCACGACGTAACCCCCTCACGTTTACCCATCCCCCCACGAAACCCCCAACCACGAGGTGCCCCCTCTCTCTCTAGTTAGGGGACATCTAACTCTAGTAAGGGACATCAACTCTAGTAAGAGGTGAGGGGGGACATCAACTCTATAGAGGGTTGGTGTGCGATCTATAGGTAACTTTTTATAATTTTTCAAAAACTCGATTGAAAATAGGAAAAAAAGAAATTAAGCGAAAAGAAGTTAAAACAAAATAACTAACTTAAGTTTAACAAAATTATGAAAAAATGAAAACAACACACAAAAATATTTGAATAAATAGGTTATAATCCATTATAATCGATTAAAATGGATTATTTTTCTTTTGAATTTTTTTTTGAAAATAATCGATTATAATCGCTTATAATCGATTATATTGGGATTTTATTGCTTTAAAGAATATTATCATCATAATCCATTTTCAATCGATTATAATCGATTATTTTTGTTATTTTGTAGAGACTGACAATAAAATTCCAATATAATCGATTATTATCCATGAAACTTCAGTGCGGGTTTTGCTGTTTTGGCCGGCCGCAAGGAGTTTGTTTGTAGTTTAGAAAAGCTCTACGCCATGATAGCCGAGCTTTGGACAGCCTGGCTGACATTTAAAGTGCCTGACTGTGCTCAAAATGAGCAGGCTTTTTATCGACCGATTCGACTTAAGCAGAAATGTGCTTACTGTTCCTGTATAGAATCTGTGTGGACCTTGTGGATGGGTACACAGAAGGGCAAACATCCATTAAAATCACTATTGCGTAAATGTAATATAAAAAAAATGATATCGAGCTAGATTTTTGGTTTTTCTAACTCTCAGCAGTACTATCTCAAAATCAAAACATTTATGTTTTGTTTTCAAAAAAATAAAAATTACTATCTGCTAAGTGGCCCAGAAAGTTTCGCTTTATATATTCCACTTTCCTAATGAACCAAAAATAAGGCTGCTCGTATACCAGGGCAAAGACCTGAATGTTCCGACTGTCCTTTAATTCATAAAACCTCAAAAGTTTTTGACAATACAAAGTGTAAAATTTTGAGTCGTACGAAATTAATACGACCAATTATCTAGCCTCAATTCCATTGGAACGATTTTGTTGTGCGGGAAAATTCGCCAGGCATAAATTATTCGCGTTACGCTCTCAGCATTATGAATAAACATTTCAACGCGCGGATAATTTAGTCAGAACATGGCCAGTTTGGAGTTTTCAACCCCCAGAACTTTATTTAAAAAAATTAGAGGTAGATTATCTTTTTAAATTTGAACTCAGAAGGTTATTATCTTTAATAGGGTTTGAAAATTTTTTTGCTTAAATGTAATTCGATCGGCAAAAATTGACTTAAAAAACCCACACGCCATATTGAAATGACAAATCCAGGATTGCATCTAAGCTTCATTGAACCAATTTGGAACGAGAACCCAAATAATCTAACTACTAATCTAACTACTAGTTATCTCTCTCTTTAGCAATTATTGTTCTCTAACTAACTGAGAACCAACCGTTCGTTCTCACAGCACAATTGATCTGCCTAATAATGCTACGCACAATTGATCTGCCTTACGCGTTAATAATGCTAAATATATCGCGCCTTAATTGTCCGAAATTGGCCAAAACGGCCATCTTGAACCCCCATAAGTTAACAAAAAATTATCACAGGTAATATATCATATCAAATTTAAGCTCACGACAGCTATACCTTTCGAATGATTTTTAAAAAGCTGTCAAAAATGGCTAATTAAAAAGTCGAATTTTGCCTGAAGAAAAACAAACCCACCTCGAGTACAAATTTTCCGTTACTTTCGTTACAAAAGTCGGAGCAAAAAGCCATAAATATTCCATTTTCTTCGAAAGTCGGAACAACTAACTTCTAACAAGATCAAAAAATAGTCTGAAATTGTGTTAGTTTCAATTTGTTATAAATGTAGATTGCGTCCAGTTCAAGAGTAATGATTTTTGTTACCAACCCCTCATTGCAAAATGAAATTTCAATACAATGGGTAAGAGCCGAAAACTCATAATTGTTGGATTACTGTTATTTATTTCGATTTTTGTCGATTACGGTGGGTGTTCATAAATACGCAGGGGCGGATCTAGGATTTTCTTGAGAGGGTGCCGCCGATTTTATTTCAGAAAAGTTTAAAAAAATGGTTGTCTTTTTTTAGGCCGACCAAACTAATTTTGCGAGCTCTCCCAAGCGCTATAAGGTCCCAATTTTGGCCACAATTTTTTTTTAAAAAAACAGGCCAAAACGCCGTTTTTTTGCAGTTTTTGGAAAATTTCGAACAAAAAATCTCGTTTAGAAAAATGTAGGGACAATCAGCCAAAAATGGATATCACAAAATAGTACAAAAGGGAACTCTTTAGGTCGAATCCCTGAGGGGGGGGGGGGTGCAACACCGCCCTTCTAAATCCGCTACTGTTCTAAATCCCGCAACGGTTGTACCCTAGTTTTGCCTGATTTTGACTATTTCGACAAAATCGAGCAGCTACAGTCAAGTGCGGCCGCAGATGAGTCCCTTGAGGTCGTGATTTGGATTCCAAAAATAGATTCTGAATTTTCACTTCACTTCATTCTACTTTTAAATTTATTGTGAGTTCCTTTTTTCCCATCAGTGTGTTATCGGTACATTCGATGCTGCTTGCATAGCAGCGTGCTATTCCTGGTCTAATTGTTGTTATTATTTGAGTTTTTAGCTGCGAACCAGGCTGAATTTTTACCACTGAAGACTACCAGTCATTCTTTTAAAAGTGCCTTTTGCAACACAGTGGCCTTCATCCAAATCCAGGTCCACTGATGGATTATAAACTCAATTGCCGAAGCTTAGTCAAGAAAAGTTTAGATGTCAATAGATTCGACATTTTTATGCCTTGTAGTATCAAAAAACATGCAAGTCAAGAAGCTTGTTATTGGTTTTTAATAAAAACTGTTTGAATGGATTAGCATTTTCATAAGTTTTGATTGATTTAAACTATTGTATCAAATATCAGTTTATAACAATCAAAACTTATCATCTACCTGATACACCAATTGATTAACTTGATCAAAGGCCATTAAATTTTTGCCACTCCATTGAAAGCATGTGTGGTTTAAGGACTGAAAAAGCTATCATAAGCAATTAAATATCTAAAACGATTACTTCTACAATTAAAACAATATAAAAAGCATCAGTTTAGAAAGATTAGCTCTTGTTTTTACTTCTATAATTTGAACCATTTTTATTCAGAGCGAAAACTTCGAGGCACTCACGGAGCAGCCGCAACGTCCAGGAGACTCAGACGGATCCGGAGAAACCGAGTCTCGGAGGTCGCAAGTTTACAGAGTTCATCGAGCATTCCAGTTGGGTTGCGAGGCACGACAGCCAAGCGTCAGATTTGCCGAAAGACTACTCGTCTCTTTCTTCAATCGCGACTCCAATTAGCCGACGAAAACCGAAGAACCGAAAACCTCTCTTCATGCTGCGAAGCGTGACAGTCTCGGGCGCGGAACCGAGTCGAGGCTTCGGCGTCATTCGGACATCCAAAGAGATCCAAGTGCAGGAGACTGATTTCAGCCGACAAAACAGTCGTGTGAGTGTGAGTCGTAAGACGACTGAAGTCAGTTTCTCCAGTTCAGAAACACCGAACGAGGAACACAAGAAGTACAGGAAAACTCCGGTTTCGAAAGTACGAAGTCAAGGCAGCGGCGATGAATCCGAAAGCGAGAACGAGAAAAACGCGCGAATTAAATACGAGACAAAAAATGGAAGCAAACATTACGCTTCGAGTCGACACCACTCGGATCTGAATCCTGTAGATGAGGAAACGGAAGAAGACAGAATTAGAGCCGAGAAAGATCCGACTCCGCGGCGCGAAAAGCCCCCAATGGGCGAAAGAAACCCAATGGACTGGTCCCAGAGTCACAATGGTGCGCCGCACATGAACTATTTTAACCCATTTGATGTGCCGCAGCAACCAAGTCAAACTCAAAGCGGAAACCCATATGCGGGGTACGCACCACCCGCATTTATTTACCCACCGTACGGTAATCCATATGGAAACTTTTTCCCGTTTTGGGGTAACTATAATCCTTATCAAATGGATCAAACCGAACAAACGAACAACACAGGAAGTCAGCCAATCACTGACGGACAAGCTGCGAAAACTAAAAAGGTTGAAAAGGGAAAAAAGTCGGAACCAGGGAAGAACTTCCTGAAAGAGAACAAAAAAGATGCGTTTAAAGACGAGTCAGATAAAAAACCGATGTACAAAGACATAGTTGCAAAAAAGCGTGAGCGACTTGCCGAGTCGGAGGAGCACGGGGATGACGTCACAAAAGAAGAAGACGAAGATGACTTGATTCAGACTCACACGACTGTCAAAGACGACAATCGAGTTAAAGTTGATATCAACTTGAACATTTCCGGTAGACAACTGGCAAATCTGCTCGGATTGGACGAGAGCAAACTCGGTTTTTCACCTCGGAACCAGTTCTACCCGCCACCGCCTCCGGGGATGTACCCGCCCATGTTCGGGCCACCACCGATGTTCGGTCATCCCTCGGCAAGAACTATGCCTGAGATTCCGACAAGTCGACGAGACAGCAACCTAAGTGCTTCGGAGGAGGTGCAGCGCGGTGAAAGAGTGAAACCGAACGAAGTTTCGCTTCATAGAAAGAAGGATAAAGCGGCAAAAATTGAAGAATCGGCCAAGAACAAGAAACTCAGTCCATACCCTGTAGTGCCGCCAATCAACCAGAGCCAAAAACAGCAAATTGCCAAGCAAAAACATGGTAAATTATGAACACATTAAGTACAAGAAGTTAAAATTAATTGTACAGGGAATATTTCAAATTAATCAATTTTTAATTAATGAAAATAAATATAAATACTTGTGACTTAATTAATGACGGGAAGAGGAATGAAATAATTTAGATTCGAGCGTGGGTTTTGTTTAGAACATGAGATTGAGGTTCCGTTGTTTTCTGAGAAGAGGAGAGTAGAGTATAAGCCGCACACTTTAGAAGAGTACAGACAGTTGAATCTGGACGTGAAGCTTCCAGCCACTCTGGGCCCGGACTGGGACCACATCGAAAAAGCAGGAGTTGCAAAAAGAAGGAAAGAACAGTACTCGAAGGATTTGAGAAAGCAGCATGAGTTGTTGTTGACAACCAGCAACAAATACCCGAGAAAAGGCGACCCAGATGATCTTCTCTCGAAGACAGCGCGTCACAATGAGTACAACAAGACAATTCCAAAGCCACGATGATGCATTTATGACAAGATATTGATGCGCAAAATGGCACTAAAACATCAAATATCGGAAGTTCAGATCACTCACAGACGCTTTTATGACCAGCAGATAAAGTTAACTATGACACCACACAAACTCACAATCGATCTTATTTTTCTTAAGTCGCTTTCGAAAATCGCAAATTTGAGTCTGCGAATATTGTTCAGGTAATTAATAATTCCTGGTACGAGTCCTTTCTCAAAAGAAGATTAGGAGCTTTAGGTTCCTGCTTCCAATATGTGTGATATTCAAGTGTCTCTGGAGAGAAATTCCATCCCAAATACTTGAGAGTGACATAATTTCCACAAAAGCGAAGGGACCAACCATACATGTGTTGCTTCCTTATTATTTCTGTTAAAAAAGTATACGTTTCGATACTTCTTCATAACTTTTTTGAAAACAGATCAAAAATGAAACGAAACAAGACAACAAATATAACCGGTTGCTGCGTAAGCAACAGATAGTATTAGGACTACAAAGTCTGGTGCTAAAATTTGAACCAAAACAATATTTTAAATTTCTTTTTTCGTATACTTTAGAAGCGTATAATCTCAAATACTGAGGGCGTGAAATTTTGCACAAATTGCACAGCAACTGATTCAACACTGTTTTCCAATGGGGATGAAAGTGTCAGACTTTTCACCAACAACTTAAAACAAGTACATTTTGAAAAAAATGAAAAAAAAAATGAAAATTCCAAATAAATTCCAACGTTCATTTTTCAAAATATTGCAGCTTTCTGGGCTTGAGGAGCTTCAGTGAACAACTTTACGGAAAGATGAATAAAAACAACGAAGAGCAATAGTAAAATCTGTATATCAGCTCAAACCTTAGTCAACTAGCAGGAATGCCATTTCATAAATTGTAGAAAAAGCATTCAATAGAGTTTTTCTAGACACTAAGAAACATACTGACATTTTTTTTGGAAATCTGAGTCACGGGTCAAAAAATTGTCTTGGGAAACCATGCTTGACCATTGATGTTCCTAAAATATGGTGCAAAAACTAACCATACGCCATAGTGCCCCTGAAATAAAAACCTTCACTTGGTTTAAATATAACCAGCCGAACAAAATAAAATAGAACATCATATTGAAAATTATCAGGCAGTCACTTTTTTGTAGTTTAAAGAATAGCAAAACACTCAGATTATGTTTTCTCAACACAGCGCAACTTAATGAATCATTTTTTGTTATCCGAATAACGACTTTAAAAACTTTTACATATAACTCATTTGACTCTTCATGGACTCTCCAACTTTTTTGGAGTGGCCAGAACAGAAATGTAGTGGGTCATGATTTAGATCAAAATTTCCGACCTCAAAGGGGGAAGTAATTAGAGACTCATCTGCAGTTTTTCACTCAAAGCTAGGTGCAAAACAAACTGCGCCGAAAGTTGAGTAATGCGACGCAAAAAAGTTTTTTTGTATTGGTGAATCGAAAGGTGTTAACGAGTTCAAAAACGTTTGCTTCGTGGTCTTCAAAAAATTGTCGGCAGAAATTTGTTTTTCATACCGAAAGAACTTTCTGAATCAATTAGTCAATGCTGGAACAATGCAATATGAAGCAAAAAAAACATGTGCTAAGAGTATACACTTAAGAGCTCAAATAATCCCTCTTAATCCCCTGTTTTTCCCATAAAACTTTCAAAAGTTTTCTTGCATTCTTTTTTAGCTCTTAAGATACTTCACATATTGCCAGGGGCGGATTTAGGGGGGGAGGGGTGGGATATCTATTTTTGGTGACGGACTCTAAAATTGTATAAAGGCGCCTTTGGCACCAATATATACTAATTTTGAGGGGGAGTGCGCGCCGAAAAAAAACGCAATTTTTTGGTCAATAATTTCCAAAAATTGCTTTTTTGGCCTTTTTTTCAAAAAATTTTGCCTGCGGCGCAAAAAAATTTGGCCGAAAAAAGGACTTTTTAGTGCTTCCGGAGAACTCAAAAAGTAATTGTAGTTCCTGCGAATCGCAGAGGAGCTATCAGTAGGCCTTAACAGTCCTGTCGAGGATAGTCCATTTGTATTATAGTCCATTTGAGGATAGTCCATTTGTATTAAATCTGTTTGTTCGATCTAAAAAGAAGGTCGACACAATTTTCGAAAACTTCTTGAAAATCCGCCCCCCTCGAGAAAATCCTAGATCTGCCCCTGCACATTGCCCCGGAATCCACTTGACGAAAACAGTACTGAAAGTAGTTCTTGCACTTCGTATAAGGGTTAAGGTCAGCGCAAGCCTTGAAATTAATAAAATGTTAAATGTTCCGACCATTTGAAACATTGGGAGAAACTTAATTTTCGGATGTTTAGTTTGTTCTTTTTCTTTTTTGTTTTCCGCGGAAAATCAGGTATCACAAATAATCATCGAAATGGGTTGAGTAATTTTTTATATTAAAGCCCTTTCAATCGTGGTTCGAAAAACATTTAAGTTTTTCTGTGTCGATAAAATTGGTTTGAGATTTTTATTTTTTGGTCGAATTCCAAGTAAATAAGATGAACGAGCAGACTTATTTTGATGTCAACCAAAAATCTACCACAACTAAACATCGGAATGAGTCCAGTGATAATTCACAATAAAGCTTTCTCAATTCTAATTCAAACAGTCTAAATAATTTTCAAAAACTCACAATTTTGAGTTTTAGTCTTTTTTCGAAAAATTGCATAAATTCAAACCAATTTTTGCAATGAGAAAATAAAAAAAATTTTATATATTTTTTTTGTAGTCAATTTTCGACGAAGACCGTTGCTAACATTGCTTTTCTTACTTTGACTGCCATAAGTCATAAATTGCGCTCAACGAAATAAGTGGTTGTCCGCTCACACAGCACCAAATTGACAACATTCTTAAAATGTCCAAGCGATGTAACATATCTCATGAAAAACACTTGAAACCAAGACCAGTTTTTTCAGTGATCATTTTGATCAAACTCCCGCAGTTATCGAGTTTTTTGTGTTTAAGAAAACTTGAAAATGAATTCATTCATTCATTAAGTTTTGAAAATACAGCAACAGATAACTTTCGATACTCTTAGATGTTCTAATTCGGAAGCTAATCTCAAAATCCTAGACGGATAATTTGAAACTTCTACAGGTTTGACGCGGCGCAAAAAATATGAGCCAACTTTTAGTCGCATAAAAGTTGCTTGTCAAAAACTGCGACATTTCAAATTATCGAAAACTTTGAAATACTGCAAGTGTGACCATGATCTTACGGATTCTTCTATCAAACCTATCAATTTATTGCATTCAGACAAAATTATAATTTGAAACAATTTGAAAAAAGCAAAATTGAAAAGTTAAAACAATAATTTTTTAAAGGTTTTCTTGTGCTAAAAAGGAGGGTGAAAGGATAAAACTTGAAATTAAAAGCAAATAGGTTTAAAATGGAGAACCAACAATTTTATTTTTTTTTATAACACAATTAGCAGAATTCCTTGGCACTAAATCACCTGTACGATTGAAGAAAAATTTGAATAGGGTTCTCAATTATCTCAATTTTTTCAAATAGAGCAATTAAGTTGAAAAAAAAGAGCGCACTACTATTGTTCAGGCGGAAGAAGTCCAATTTGCAAACAGAACCGACATAGCCGGTCTCCAGTTTTAAACCTTTGTCGAATCATGCATGGAAGTTACATCCAAGCAGTGATTTTTTTGTAATGTTACCTTCATTCAGTGATGTTACCTCCAAAAAAATCAGTGATTTGTTTTAGACAAGTAAATACCAAAAAATTCCAGATTATGATTTGTTAACGCTTGGAATTCGCGATAAGTTTCCACAATCTTTGACTTTTATATCATAGTTTCTAAAAAATACTAACTGATTGTTTTGTTATTTTCCCTGGTTTTAGCTGGATTAACGCTGTTCAAAGAAACGAAGTACATTTTAAAAAAACTTCATTGAACAACAACTATCTCAGTTATTCAAGTTATTGAATTATCCTCAGTGGTGGGAAGAAATTTTGGATTGGCTTGCTTCTTTATTTCAAAGAAATCTCAAGTGATCAAAAAAGGTATCATATTGGTTCAACTCCAAATGGTCGGGATTGTGATTCAAAGAGAAAAGCCAAAAAGTTGTGGCAGCATTGGGAAAATTGGTCTTCATATTTCTGCGATTCAGAACAAACTTCATGATATTTTAAGACACTGAATTCAAATTTGATGAATCGTCTTACTTATTTTACGCTGTCTATTTCTAAATAACTTTCATTTGCAGTTGTTAACCTATGTCAATGACCCAAACTTCCCTTGCTTTTTTGTTGATTTTAATAGTAAGCTACTTTAAATTATCCGCTCAATGCAAAGGAATTTGGAATTTTTAACCGTGTTTTTCTCAAATTGGGTCAATACTAGACACAGGAGCTAAGCGGGGCTTCCCATACTTGCAATACAAAGTAAGAACACAATTGCAAACAAGGTACGGCCGGGAGTTGAACCTTAGACCTTACGGTACAGAGGCAACCGCGTGAACTCCAGGCGAAGTGCGAAGCAGTCACGAAGCTGCTAAGGTTAACAAATAAATATACTTCATTTTCAATTTCAGATGTAAGAAAAATTGTTTACGGAGAAAAAGTATTGTTTCAATTACAAGACAATTACCTTCGCAACTGTAAAAAACATGATGAGAACTGAATTCATTGAAAAATTAAACAAAACTCAAATGTCGAAATATATATTGCGCAATTCCGACCTAAACCTTTGTACTAAAAAGGGCAGATATTGGCTCGCTTTAGTCAATCAAAAATTACGCTAAAAGTACCCTGCGACTGATGAGCAAAGAATATCAAAAACATTTTTCATGTAGACCAAAAAAATTTACAAAGAAGCGAAGTTGCACTTCGCATACACAAGCAAAAATATGACCGACAACACAGCTGGGAAAAACTGAATGGGTAAAACTTCGAGCCTACAAAATTTTATAAATGACGCACGCCAATTATGAGTCAACATAATTGCTAAGTGACGCAAAATAGTTTTGACTCATTAGCAGTAACAGTCAATTTGAAAAAAAAAGAAACTTACGAACTAACATGCCTCACTTTATAGAGCGGACGCATTTTAAGTAGTATACGAAAAATTTCATTAAAAACATCCGACCCTGCGAAGGTTCGAACCCTTTTATTTTGCTGCTGGTCTCCTTTCCTACCTCTACGCTACAGATCCTT